TGAAGACCGATTCACCCGTGCATTTATGTGTTTATAACCGGAAAACCAGGTTACCTGTGGAAAATGTAATAAAAAAGATCATAATTTACGTACATGTGTTCGAAGACACAGAAATGTTAAATAAGAAAATTTACACATAGTAATTATGTAATTAGGCTTGCGTAATTGTATTATTTAATTAATTAATTATTTTAAAAAAAATGATGTAACGATTACTCAAACATCTACTTAATCACGAGATTATATAAATCAGCCTTTTCAAATTTGGGCCCTAATTTTCAAATATCGGGCCTCTATTTGTAATTATTTTTATTTTGGGCCCTTATTTGTAATTATTTTCAAATTTGGGCCCTTATTTGTAATTTCCCCCATAAATAAATTCTACTTATAACAAAAATAGGATTTTTACACAAAAGGATGATAAAGCAATCAATCAATTAAAAATTTAAATTTCTCGTAAAACTGCCCAGATTTTTCCCAGTCTTTTTATTAATTGCCATAGCAATAATCTCTGCAGCACCGAATGTCAGAATGAATTCCACTTCCACCACTTTTTTTTTCAGAGTAAACCCCAACAATTTTTTTTGTTCTTTTAAGTCTGATAAATCAATTTTTATGTTTCCCAACATCTTCATCCCATCCTCGTCGCAATACTTCGCGTTGTTATCCATTGTAGTGAATACGTTAATAACCATATCAGTTTGATTCGGATCTACTGCAAACGTATAGTAGAAAATTTGATTGATGGCAACTTCAGTACCTCTTAATGCTAATCGATGAAATCGGAATATATGGCCAGAAGGTGTACAACGTTCTGGTGGATCGTGTCTTTCCCATTTTACGCTTATTTCTATGCCGTAACAGAAATTTAATGTTCCAGTTATATTTAGACCATATTTTAATGTTCGAGTTATATTTAAACCATATTCTAAAGCACCTCGTTCGATGGCTTAGTATGTAAAATATATTTTTTTTTTTAGAAATTAATTATGAGAGTAAGAAATCATATAAACAAACCAATTATTATGAGAATATTTATACCTGCAGTGGGCTGTTTAGGAGCAGCAATAATTGGGATTTGTGTCGCAAACTGTCGTCGGATTTGACTTTGCAAGTAATGAATTTCGCTAAAATCTCCTACTAAAAACATAGCTGCGCATCTACGTTCGGTTGATATACAATGCCTTTGAATCAAATCAATAATCTTTTTAAGAACAGGATCAAACATATCTTTCACAGTTTGATAGTCTAAATCGATCAGCCATTCGGATTCTTCCATTAATTCTCTGGCCTTACCGGTAACATATTGCATTAATGAAGGGCATATAAGTTCAATATCTAATTCCTTTGATGTATATTCGTAAGGATTTCCGTTAAATGAAAATTTTGCTATTAAACAAAATTGTTGGACCAAATATTGCATTTGTTCATAATGATTTTCTTTTAGTTTTTTCATTGCAGCGAATCCTAATTTTCGACCAAGGAACTTAAGGAATTCACGGTCAACATAAGAACTGCCACACAAATCACCACTACGTTCAGTAACTTCACCAAGTAACATTCTGGGTAATAAAGTTCTGGTTGTAAGATCTACAGTTCCTCCTTCACAATCAACGATTAAGATTGATGCTAATATGTAAAAAAGCAGAAGTTTAAGTGTTATATTGCACATTTATTAATAGATGACAGTGAAGTAAATAATAAATATATATTTACACCCAACTGATAAATGGTATTCATTCATAGTTTTTAAGCAATAAATTGCGGCAGCCTCTGCTGAAAATAAAAATAGTGAAATACGTATACTTTACACGTAGATGTATTCAAATAAATTATAAATTCAATAAAAATTTATTTACATACACACAGTTATAAACTCTAAATTTTCTGATTGTCTATGTTCCAAGTAACCGGCATTATACATACACTCTCTCATAATGGCTTTCGATTTATAACCCCTTTATTATATGTCAAAATTATGCTTTAGATACTGATATGTTAACCTGATCATTTATGAAATGAATGACTAACCAGTGGTCAGGTACAGGTAATACAAAACGAACTTGTTGAGGGTACTGTATAACTATATATTTTTAAAAAATATAAATTAAATAGTCAATTCAATTTTATTTATTTAAATATTAATAAAGATATTATTAAATTACTTGGCCATCGAGTAGATAATGTATCTAAAATGGGCTAAAGAGGGAAAATTATTACCGCAAATCAGTTGAAGTTAATTATAAAACAGTCTATGTAGAATAAGTTAACTTTTTTTTTACTTTATTCATCTCATGTAAATAATCGGTAATGACCCTTTTTGCATCTATGCCTGGAGGAAGGGGTGGCTTGTCGTCCTCCCTTAAATCGATAAGGTGTAACATGAATAATTCTACTGGTTTAAGCTGTGGTTTAGCGAGTGCCCCTTTTTTCTTTAAAGGTTCTTGGATCAGAGCTGGGTAGCCCCAGGCTACAGGTTGCAAATTCTCATCGTATGCTACTACCGTATTAGTTTTAAATACGCCTGTTTGTTCTGGCCTAATATTAAAATCATCGAAGGTTACCCATAATTTTTAACAATATCTTCTGATGACTTCTGATGAAAATTCTAAATCGTGTAAATATACTACCACTATAAAAATATTGATATCATTTGTTACTATTATTATATTTTGCATAGCATAAAAAAATCTGAAACGAATAGCCTGTTCGACAATATTGAGCATTTAATCAAATTAATTGGATCTGAGCCTAAAACGAATACATTCAACTTATCCAATATTAAAAATTTATAGGTCCTAAAATAATTTAATGTCCAATATTGTCTAGTGTATACTGTAAAATTTTAAACTTACTGTATCATTTGTGATATTTTCTGGATTAGCCCTTGATGCATATGCAAATCCTATATTATTACGAAAAAATGATTTATTCGCCATAATTATTAACCAATTGGAACTTTATTTATCATATATATATATATATATATATATTGCTGACCTGAATGGGTAGTTCCAATTTCTAATGATTAAATATAAATTTATTGTTAGTACAACTGCTTCAACAATTTAAAGCACATAAGAATATCATAAATACCAAGGGCTACAACGTATCGAATATCTGGTTTCTCTCTAACGTATCGAATATCTGGTTTCTCTCTATCGTATTTAGTTAAACCACGCTTTACCCTACGACGCATTGGTAGCTTTGGTAAGGCTACATTATCAAGTTGGTACATTCTTAAAACTATTATATAATAAAACGAAACTATAGTCAAGTTTAATAATAAAATATTGCAATACTAACATATTGAGCTTGTATCGTGTTCCTGTTCATTTCCAGGAGTGAATTCATCACCAGGGTAAGTCCATCTAAACTCCTTAGTTACCGTATTGAAATAATAA